GCCACGGCAGAGACGGCTCGCTGTGCGGTTTCTCTGGATTCCGGGCAGGTTGTTTCTCCCAGGAGGCACTCCACATTTATGTTTTTTGTTTGTTTGTTTGTTTGGGAAGAAAGCAAAAAGCTGAAGACAAACCCCGGGGGGCACGCTTATAAATCATCGTCCACCATCGCCCATCGAGCTCCACTCCTTCTCCCAACGGCTGCCCCCGGGGAGGAGTCCGCACGGGTCCCCTGCCTGGGGGTCCCCTCACTGGGGAAGCCTTCACGCCGGTGGTGGTGGCTGAGCCGGTACAGACCAGCTGGGTGCCTGCCCTGGTATCACCGCCCGTAGAGACTGATTCATTCATTCGCCCACTCATGCCTTCATTCATTCACCAATTATTTATTGAGCACCTACCTGTCTCAGGCGCTGGGGGCTAGACATGCAAATGGACATAAACAAACCTTGACAAAATCCCTTCTGGAGGGCGTCTCCCAGGCCAAAAGAATAGCACAAACTAAGTCACAGCGGGAGGCAAGAGCTGGGGTGGGAGACATCGAGGCGTGGCCGACAGCCGGCAGTCAGGGAAGGCTGCCCAGGGGAGGTGGGCAGGCAAAGCGAGGCCGGAGAGGGGGGCCCCCGGCAGCGCAGGAAGGCCATCTCCGGCCCGGCACCTACCGAGCCACTCGTTGAACTTCTTCACCTCGCTCGGGAGCCCCAGCTCCGTGAAGTCCCCGGCGTGGATGAGCACGTCGCCGTAAGGCATCTGGATGGGGTCCGTCCTCGAGTGGGTGTCAGACACACAGACAAAGCGGGTGTAGCCGGGCGGCTTGGGGGCATCGTGAGGCACGGGGTCCACCCTGCGGGGAGAGAAGACACTGCAGGCGGTGCGTGACCAGCACGAGGCCCGGGCACAGCTCACGGCCCCGCCAGCCACGGACACAGACGGCGCGCCCGGACTTCCCAGTGGGCCCTCGGGGCTCCGAGTCCCGACTCTCCCACTTGCTGGCTGAGCAAAACGTGTGTCCCGCTGAGCCTCAGTTTCTCTTCAGTAACATGGGGCCCTCAGGGGCTAAAGGAGGTAACTATCGAGTGGAGAGCACCTGTGGGCACGGTGCGATTACGACGGCTTACCTGCTGTTTGGCTACCGCGGCCCTTCCATCATCGACCCTGTTTAGATGAGTTTTTCCCCTACTCGCTCCCCTCCCGTGAGGTTTTTAACCCCACAGATAACTGTTCGTGTATGTATGCATATCTGGGCTTTCTAAGAAGAATAAGCTTTCTTCACCCCCTAAAAACGAGTTTCACCCCCCTCCGGAGATACCATCAGCCCCATCGAGAATGTAAGTTCTACGGCCTCTGGTCCGAGTGAAAGAACCAGCCCCAGGCACCGTGCAGGGGGGCACGCAGCATCCAGGGAAAGATGGGTGCAAAAGCAGGGGTGGGGGGATCTCACAGGAGCGCGGGAAATCAAAGCACGAAAGATAGGCAGCAAGTTTTCAAAACCGTGAGATGGTCTCATCATTTTTAAAACAAGGGCTTTCCAGGGTTGTGCGGGCAAAGGGTCCCCGAATCAGACCGGGCTTCAGGTCCCAGCTCCGCCATTTCTCACTGACGTGTGACCTTCAGCAAAACACGTGGCCTGGTTCCGCTCGCCTGTAACGTGGAGCCACCTCACGAAGCAAAAACCATCGGGAAATTAAAAAGAGCTGCAGAAAGGGAAGTTCTTGCTCCGCGGAGCCCATCCCAGCCCTCTGGTTTCGAGGACGACAGTGCTGAGTTAAGTGGCCCCGCGTGTCCCAGGGAACAAAGGGAGACCGTGGCTCCCAGTCCAGTGCTCCCCAAACCACGCTCAGCCTCCTCAGCTGAATGATTCTGCCAGGCTCAGAACTCTTAAAAACAACGCAATGACATTTCAACGAGCGGCTCTCTCCAAATGAGTATGCCGCTCGAGGAGTTGTGTTTAAATCTAATTATGCGGCAAACCAAAAGCGGTACCGTATCAGTTACATAAATACTTTTAAAGACATCTTTCTAATTATCCTTTTTTTTTTTTTCAGACAATATACTTCGAAGAAATTTAATTAACACCTTACGAGAGACGTGGGTTCAGCATGCTAATGTGCGGGGAGCGTTAGCGTGCTCTATCCACCACAGTGGGAGGCACCAAGCCAGCCTCCCCTCGTCCCGGGAGGGAGCACGCTCGGGCCTTTCCGGGGCCGGTCAAGGCGAGTTAGACTCCAGGCAGGTCAGAGTGGGGCATGACCGGGGAGAAGAGGAAAACCCCCAGAGTCTGATGATGACCAACAAGAAGGCACCGGCACCCCCCCCCCACCCCGCCTTCCTTCTGCCTCCATCCATTCAGTCAGTCACTCATTCATTCAGCCAAGCACATTCTGCCCACTCACTGTGGGCCGGCCCCGAGCTCAGTGCCGGGGCCCCGGGGATGAACCGGGCCTAAACCCAGGCCAGGAGACCACAGACTGATGGTGGAGGCAGACTTGTCCGTTGACCGGGCAACGGAGAAGCTGGGGGCCAGAGAAGGCCCTAACCCAGCAAGGGGCTCCCTAGAAGCTTCCAGGAGGAGGCGGGACCTGAGCTGGTCTGGGAGCTAAAGACTCCCTCCCATCCCTGTGTCCTCAGAGTCCCTGCCCTCCTCCCCTGCCCCCAACCCCTTGACAGACGGTCTGGCAGGCAGCAGGCCTGTGGGTCACCTGTACATCCTGCCTGCCCCCAGCGCAGCCGATTGGACAAGGGGCGGACAGTTGCTACTGGGCTCTTGTCCTGGCACAGGAACACGAGTGAGCCAATCAAATTCCTTCCTTCCACCCTCCCTCCCTCCTCCCTTCCCTCCTCCCTTTTTTCCTTCCTTCTTTCCTTCCCTCCTTCACCCCTACACATACCGAGGTCATAAGCATGTCAAAGGTGACAGAGGCCAAGTCAAAGAGACAGAGAGGGATGATGAAGGGGGAGAGAGACAGGGAGCGAGAGGCCACCTCCAGAGCCACCTCTGGCCCCAACAACCTCTCCTCCTGTGAACCCTTAGCATGGAGCCTGAGCAGGCCTCAGCCCCGCCCACCATCAGCCAGCCAAAAGCAGGACCAGTTCCGAGGGCTCCAGTCGGGCTGTTGGAGCCTGGGCTCTTTAATTAACTATTCTTATTTCCCTCCACCCCGAGGCTACTGAGCTCAGTGAGGATGCAAACCTAATAATCCCCTGAGGAAAAAATAAAGACTCTTGCTTCTCTGCACTGTCCTCCGGCTATTTAGATTGTAACAAACGCTCAACTTGAAATAACAGCAACAGTTAATGACACCGATGCTGGGTGCTTCCCACGGATGGGAGCTCATCCTGTCCTAAGCACGTTACATGCACCCACTGTCTTCGCACCGTGACCGTCTGGGCAGGGTGTTATGGGTATGCCCATATTACAGATGAGAAAACTGAGGCTCAGGAAAGGCTTGCCCGGGATCTCAGCTATGCAGGCCGGTAAAGCTGCAATTTGAAGCCAGTCTTTGGTTCCAAAACCCCCACCGGACTGGACTGTTTCTAGACCCAGCTCATTTCATTCAGTCAATCTACGCGCAAATGCTTCCTAAAGGTCTCCTAAAGGCCGGGCATCTGCCAGGCACAAGGGATATACGTGTGGACAGGATACCCCCTGAGGTCACTTCGTGGAGTCCCCAAAAACCCAGCCTGGAAGTGTTTGGGAGTGAGGAAAAGAACAAGGAGAGTCAAGATATGGAGAAAGAGAAAGAGAGAGCAGACAAGAAGGTGGGAGAACTTAACAGCATAAGTTGATCCCTAGATCCAGCTGTACCTGAAGCTGGGTCCAAACACGGGCTTTCTTACTAACTAAGTAAGCCAGTAAACTCTTTTATCCTTCAGGCAATTGACACTGAGTTTCTGACACTCGTAATGCAACACCCTGGCTAACACCTGAGTCACAGCAAGACTGTGGAGTCACTGAGGCTGGAAAAGTTAGTCCCATATCCAAGGCCCTGGCTAGTAAGTTACAGAGTAGATTGGCACCTGGGTCTCCACAACAGGGATCTGGGCATCTAACCTGTTGAGGCTAACAAAGCAAAATGGTTATTTTCCAGCGACATTCTGCGGGCCTCAGAGAACAGGGGGGCAGCGGCGGCTCTCTCCGAGACCTGAAACCTGTTGCCACCTGTCCCCAGCCTAACAAGGGGTGTTCCCACAAGAATCACGGCAGCAGGAAGGATGCAGAATAGAGAGCACGGCCTCTGGCACCCAGAGCCTCAGCGTACCCCAATTGACACACCTCCCTGCATACGTGCCTCGGACCTCCCAGCCCCCAGGCCAGATCTGGAAGGTGGGAGCCACCCACTCACTGCCTCTTCTGGATATGGCCGAGCTCAGGACCCCACCATGGCTGGAAGGCCTGTTCCCAGGTACACACTACAGCTGACCACTATGACTTACCCCCTCTCTATCCTCCCTCTCCCATCAGCCACCAGCTCCCCGACGTCAGAAGCACAGGCCATCTCCCCCGTCATCTCTACTTCTGGGGAAATGGGAAGCTCTGAAGGCCAGGGGGCTGGGGCCAGAGGACTCCTCCCTTCAGTGAGGCTCTGACCCCGTCCGGACACGTGACTGGGCAGCAGCCATGGCGGTTCCCAATGGGAGAGTCTGCCAATCCCCTCATTCTACCGTGAGGAAACTGAGGTCCAGAGGAGGGCAGTGACTGTTTAGCTTGGTGCCCACTGCCCAGCGCTCTTCTCACAAGGCCTCGTTCTGAGTCCTGAGCTGCCCTCCCTTTTCCCTTCCCACCTCTCAGCCTTTGCTTTCGCTGGTCCCCCAACCCCAGGGGCTATGCCACTGCCCCCGGGAAGCCCCCCCTGATCTCCCCCACTCTTCCGGGGCCTTATCCTCACTCCCTTTTCTTTCTTCTTTCCATCCCTCTGCTGTGCCAGGCTCGAGGAACCAGCCCCATGCTGGTGGCAGGGACAGACCGTAGAGCCGGACGGTAGGGGGTAGGGTCAAGGGAAGGGGAGATCTGGTCTGGGGAGCGGTCAGAGGGCCTTCCCAAGGAAGTGACATGTGGGTGAGATCTGAAGAATGAGTCCGTGTTAGCAGGGCAGAGCATGGAGGAGGCACAAAGGACACCATGTGCAGAGACCCGAGGCAGAAGGAGGCACGGAATGTTCCAGGCTTAGTCCTCTCCTCCTGCCTTGCCCCTTCAGGCTCCCCGGGCTCACAGCGGACCCTCATTGTCTCCTGGGGGCCTCTCAGTGCACATGGACGGACTGGGGATCCATCTGAAGCCCAAGCCCATGGGAGAGGGAGGTCAGCGCCAGGACCGGGAAGTGTGGCCGGGAGGGGGCCTCCCCAGGCCTGACACACAGCCCCGCTCCCCTGACTCTGCTGTCTTCTTCAAGACATGCTTGGAGGGTCTTTACACAGGATGACTCAAGTCCCCACCAACAGGACTCCTTTTAAAGGCCAGAGAAAAGAGTTGCTATGCCTGGCACCAACCCCCAGGGCACCTCTAGGGCAGACCCCCCCAGGATGACCCTGGCCTGGCGGTCAAGTCTTCTCACCGGCCACCGGGCCCAGTGCCCGCCCACCCACCCAGGTCAGAAGGGCTGGTGCCTGGAGGGGCTCTCCCGAGGCCACCGCAGGGTTTCCAGGCCCTCAGAGTGAGGGGTCCTGGGCCTCAGGGCCCCAAACCGGGAGGCCCAGATCCAGACATTCATTACTGAGGCAAAGGCAGCCTCGCCACCACCAGGGTCTCTGGGGGCAATCGCATAAATCACGCAGCTCAATCGGAGGCCATGTTTGGGTTGTCACTGTTGTTATTAAATATAAATTGTGGATTTATTAAATAAGGCCCCCTCGCTCCCTCACCCCGGAGACAAAGCCCAGGGTGGTGATAAATCACGTGTGGGGAAGCGGCGATGGAAACTCGTCATGGAAATCCAAACAGCCGCCTCCAGCAGCCTGCATGCTTCCCTCGGGCTTGGGGGCTGCGGTCTGAAAGGAGGGGGCGGGACGAAGCAGTCCCCCCGGGTCCCTGCATGGCCCTGGCTTCACCCAGCTTTATGCAAAGCTCTGTTTCAGAGCCGGGCTGGTCTGAGCAGGCAGTGAGGGAGCACTTGACGGGGAGCCCAGGACCGGGGCTCAGCACACGCCCTCCCCGAGGCAGTGCCCGAACCCCCTGAGCCCCGCGGCCAGTGGAAGCCGGGAGCCCCATGTCAGGTGGTGGCAGCTCAGAGCAGGCCAGGGTGAATCCGCTCTGCCTGCTCTAGCTGGGTGACCACAGGAAAGCCAGGAAGCATTTTCCCCACTGCACCAGTGTCTTACGCTCTGACACCCTGCCGTGACACGTGCGCTAACTACCTGCCACCCCGTGGGAAGGTCAGCTCGGCATGGCAGGGACGCGTCTTTGATCGCTGCTGTATCAAGCACCTGGCCCAGCCCAGTGTGGACTAACGGCATGGAACATTTGCTCCCTGGCCCCGCTCTGGGTGGATCTACCTACTGAATCCTCGGCGTTTTCCAGATGGGGAGACCGAGGCACCCAGAGCCCCCTCACAGGGCAGTGGCAGAGCCAGGGGCTCAGAGCCAGGCAGGCGGGCTCGGGGCGCGCATTTCTAACGGGCCTGCTATGCGCCTGTTCACAAACATCCTGACCCCGCGGCTGCTCGGGGGTTAAAGGGGGAGACGGCCCCTCTCTCACGTGGTCGTGGTCGCTCACTGCCCTTCCTCAGGATGCAGCCTGGCCTGCAGGGGTCCACACGGGAAGGCTTTCCCCAGCCCCCAGCCCCCAGCCGGGCGTTTTCTGCATTCCTCACATGTCCCCTTTTCCCGACCCTCTCCCAGCTTGCTGCCCTCGCTCATCTTCCTCGGACCTCAACCTAGAAGTCATCTTCTCCAGAGGGTCCTTCCTCCGCCCCCTGGCCCTCCTCTCCTCCGACCTCCTGTTTCCCTGGCTCTGTCCTGGGGCAGAGGCCTGCCTGGGTGTCTGCTGGGTCCGGGCAGGAGCACTGTAGGTGACAGCACGGTGCCACGTGGAATTAGCTCTGGCACCCGGGGACCCTTCCTCCTTTTTTTTTTAATGTTTACTTATTTTGAGAGAGAGAGAGAGAGCAGAGAAGAGACAGACGGAGAGGGAGGCAGAGAATCCCAAGCAGGCTCTGTGCTGACAGCGGGGCTCGAACCCACGACAGCCGTGAGATCGTGACCCGAACCAAAACCAAGAGGCGGACACTCAACCGACGGAGCCACTGAGGCACCCCATCCTGGGGACCCTTCTAAGTGGGGGCGCACAGGGGGCACTGGCCACGTGAACCCCACCCACTCTGCCCACATGTTCTTCTTGTGCGTTCCTGCTGGGGCAGGAGTCCAGCCCAGCATCCAGGGACCTCAGGCCGGGTCCCATTCGGCCCGGGAAGACTAACCCCATCGATGAAAGAGAAAACCCGGCCTGGGGAAGGTCCCCCTCCCTGCAGCAGCCCTGCCGGGCCTCCAGGTCCCGGATACTAAGAATGCTGAGACCTTC